CATGCCGTTTCTTCCTACCTCTCTCCTCACCTTCCTCCTCCTAGCGCTAGCTTTTCTTTTTTTTCTTAGTTCTGCATCGCAGCCTCTTCCACTGGAAGAAGCCTGCTCAGGGATGAGGGTAGGGTCATCTAGGAGTGCCAGGGGAACGCCTTGACTACACTCGGTTATTTCATCTATTATTCTTTTGGGTTTGTGCCAAATGATGTGGGCCCATATCAGTTTATCTATGAGTGGGAGGGTTAATTTGAATGAATGAATGGGAAAGCCTCGCTTTACTTAGCATGTCCCCAACTTTAGTGCTAAGTAGAAATGTGACCTGTGGCAGCTAGAATCTCTAGTTCCTCTCCTGTCCAATGAGAACTTCTCTTTCAACTTCTATGTTCTGTGATTCTGAGTATTCGTGGGCCATCTCATTCATTCAAAAAAGTATTTATTGCATGCCTGCTTAAATACTTCTACGTGAAAACCCCTGTCCTCATGGAGCTTACATTTCAGTGGTGGGAAGACAGACAGGAATCTAGTTAAAATGTATAAATAGTGCTTACTATTATAGAGGGAAAAAGCAGAGGAGAAAGGTATGGGATTCAGGTGGGAGAAGATGGTACCGTTTTAATCTGTGGTCAGGCTTCCCTCTTTGAGAAGTTGACCACCGAGAGCAAGGAACCAAAGGAGGTGAGAGAATGAGCCATGAGAACAATCTGGGTGAAGAATAATTATGAAGTTCCAGAGGTTGAAGTGACCAGGATGAGAGTCGTAGAAATGAAGTTAGAGAACTCTGGAGTCAGAGAAGCCAGCTGCTAAGTCAAGTCTTTTTTATGTCAATATGTGGGTTTATCCACCAATCCGTCCCAGGAAGCCAGCAAACTCCTTTTCCTTTTCTCCTAGAATTCCCCATCTGGTCTCTATGTGAGTGGCTATCTGGGTGGAAATTAGGGAGGTGTCAAACTCGTTATGTCCATGGTTCAAATTTCTGCTGGTTGGGGCTTTCGTTCATTACTTTAATGACAAAGTTCTGCTCCTGTGTATTTAGTTGCATTTTCTGGAACCCTATTCTTTTTACATCTGGTTCATTCTTATCCTCCACCTCCCCCCTCCTCCTGCTTCACCAACCCCCTCTCTGCCTTTCTGGTTTCTCTTTCCATGATTTCATTTGCTTCTAAACTCTGGGATAAAATGAAGCTCCTGATAGTCATTTGTTATCTTTTCTCCTGACTTCTGGGTGATGGGAGAGTTTGATTTTTTAATTGCCTAGCTTGTTTTCAAGGAATGGTTTCCTGGATGGCTGAAAAAATGCTGGACAGGTTCATTTATGACCACTGAAATAGTGTGGTGATGACAGCACCTAGTGTTTGAAGGCCATAGGGTCCATCAGTGACTTTGGCTGTGTTTTGGGAGCTGGATCATCTCTCAGATGGCACTGTGTGTGAGCAGTGGAGCTGGAGAAAGTGGTCTTGCTGCTCTTGTGAGTTTGTCTGTGGCTTTAGTCATTTACTTAACAAACTAGAATAAAGTCTGGCACATGCCTGGCGCCGCAAGAGCACTGAGGATGCATGAGGTTTTTGGAGTAAGCACTGGAATTGAGATGGGAACACTAGGGAAAGCCCATTAGATGATAGTCAACAGCTTCTGACCTCCAATTCCAAAACCCCAAATCTCTCGAAAATGGAAAATTTGTTTTGTAATCTGTTTAGCAGCAAGACCTGCCTTGACCTGGCCTTACCAGACCTGAACTCTTTTGGCAGCAAATCTGACCTGAACCAATAGGAGGCTACTTGCAATTTTCTTTTTGCCCTTGAGTGTGATTAATCATGTATTTCTCTGGAAAAATATTAGTGTGTTTGGTGGAGAATACCCCCAGACCCTGCTAGGGGTGTTATACAATACACAGTGTATGTAGCATAATGCCTTTTTAAAATTTGAAAATTTCTGAATTCTGCAACTTAACTGCTAACTCTAAGCATTTTAGGAAAAGAACTGAGGGCCCATATGCTAAAAGTTGTAACTCGAGGGAAGGAAGGAGAACTCGTTTTGATAGGGAAGAAGAGAGAAAAGCAAGAGAGACATGTTTATTTCAGAGTCACAGTAATTAATACTAGTGACTAATAATACTCTTAAATATAAATGAGATATCTCTTTTATAATATCTTTGCAACTCTTCTTGGAGGTGAGGAGCAAACATGCAGTAGATGTAAAAATGAAAACCCAGAGGGGTTAAGTAATTAACTCAAGGTTGCACTAGAACTAGACCCCAAATGTCTCACTACTAGTGCTCGCTAGATGCATCCACTCTCTGTTCTTTCTCCCCAGATGAGCTCCACAAAGTCAGGAGTGTACAGGCTGCTGCCAAACCCAAAGTGAAGTTTAACCTCCACACCTCCGAGGATCCAGAGCATGAAGGATGCTACCTCTCCCTTGGCCACAACCAGTCCCTAGAAGACTGTGGCTTCAACATGACAGCCAAAACCTTTTTCATCATTCATGGATGGACGGTGAGCCCAGGGGAGGGAGCTCTGCAGCTTTACACAAATTTGGTTTCCTTCGTTTTGGTCAATTAAAAAGAATACTGGTGCTTTCAGATTCTACTCTGTCTCCCCGTTCTTTTCTTGTGGGCTGCTTGTATTTCAGATAGCTGTGAGGAATGTAATGGGCACTTCGCTGAGGGGGCAATCTGGACTCCAGCAGGGTGGTATTTAATGCTGGTATATAGCAGGCTTTCAAACAGTGGCTTTCCTAAGGGCAGCAGCCCAGCTCCACTGGCTCTTAAGGACCCCTCTAATTACACTTAATTAACATTGGTCAACCACTGCCTCATGGGGGCCATCCCTCCCTAAGAGCTGAGCTGAACTGAAACAACTTGACTGGCTCAGAGAATCTATGAAGAGCCAGCTGGCCTGGCTTGCTGGCCACTGTTGGCGTGGTGCCCTCCTGTTTGCATAGAGATGGCTCCGTTTAAAGGCATTGGGGCTTTTTATGTGCCCTAGCTGAGCAATTCACATTCAAAAGCCCATGACAGACTTCAACAAAAAAAGGGCTTTAACACTCAGCTTCAGAAGCTTTTGACCAGCAAGGGATTTATTCATTCATATAATGACAGTCTGTAGGAAAATGGCACTATTAAGTGAGCAGGTTTCTGCCTGAGCTAATTGGGAGGGGACATTCCTTCTCTTAATGATGAGAAATTCATATCCGTTACATGCTTACTGGGTCTTTAGGTCTATCACCAACTGTTGAGGTCAGGCCTAGTGGGTGAAGGGTTAGGTGCCTACCTACCTAATGTGATTGAAGAGATCATTAAAAGCCTGTTGATTTATCTTCATCCCACAGCCCACAGTTAGAATCATGCATTTGAACATTTTTAAAGGCCTCCTGTCAAAATACAAATACAAACTGCCTGCAACTTACAAATGGGTTGTATTCCAGAAAGTTCTTTTGTAATCTGTTTGGAACTTGGAACAGCAGTTTCCCATAGAAGCAAGATTGTAAATGGTGTTTGGGTTCCCAGGCCAGGCACAGAAAATCTATTTATCTGATAATGTACTTGTGGATAGGTTTACAACTGGACCTCACCACCATTTATACTTTGTTTCTATGGGAAAATGTGTTCTGAGTTCTAATTTTGCAT